GAGGGTTACAATATGTATTTGGTATAGATATGGATAATAGCAAAATTAACTAATGAAACGGTCATGTTTCAATAATGCAATAAATATGTTTGTATACTTATGGAGTTACATCGGAAAATGTATAAAGTTTAATGAATGATTAGTTAAGAAATTTATAGTTCACTTTGATATGATTACGTGGATATAAAGTTTTTAAAAAACGGAGTTCGTATGAGAAAATTATGGTCGTTCGAAAGTATGTGGTTATTCGGAAAAAGTCAGCAGAAAGTCGGAAAGGCACAGTGTGCCCCTCAAATCGACTTAACTTTTCATGACATAAATACATGTGTTAGTCTATAAGGAAACCATTTAAATACATGTATTAGTCTATAAGGAAACCATTTATGATTCCGTCTCTCCAAGCCCAAATCTTATCCGAAAAGTTACGCAACGCACTAAATGAGGATAACGCTATTACGAGGACATGGTAATGTCTTGATTCTCTTATTTTTTTTATATTAATATTAGGATTGAATCAAGATAATGATTCATTTTATGATGAATTAGATATCATAAAGTGGTAAAATGGTGTCGTGAGTGATTAAACGTGTCCCCGAGCTCGATTTAGCCTTAGTAATACAAATTATTAGATTAGGGTTTGAAGGAAACCCATGAAATTCTGATATAACAGAAGTGAGAAATGAGGAGATTGAGCTTAAGTTATGCTTGATTACACCCACGATAAAGAAGTTCATAATACGGTTTAATTACGAACTAATTGGTAAAAATTAATAAAGGAGTTTTCATAGCGGAAACGAGGGTTGTACACCAAAGTTTATAGGATTATCCGACTATATGATTGGATTATAGGCTTATAAAGTTAATTCGTTTGATAATGTTGTTGAGGAGCTTAGTGATTTGGTAACAAATGGTTACCCACTTCTGTTATTGATCAGGCAAAGGTCGCTATAATAGATATGATAAATAAGATCTTAAGTGTATTAAGAAAAATTCTGAGGAACTTGGTATTTCGTCCAAATAGGTGGACCAATGTTGAGCTAAGAGATAGTGTGAGGCCAGAAGCCAGATTGGAAGTTAGTTTTCACTAACTGGTCATGTGAGTACATGTGGATTTTCCTATTTGGGATACATGCCATATTAGTAATATTTAATGTGAAATGTTTGAAAATGATTTGGAAATGTTTCTTGTTTGAAAAGTAATAAATCCAAGCTAGCAAGTAAATGAACTCTTTTCGAAAGAGTCAGTTAAGGTTTTGATAGACAATGTTTTCGAGCAAAAGAGCTCTTTTACGAGCAATGGTTAACTGGTTATAATTTGTTACATGGATTATTGAAAAGGATTAATGAACCGTGTTTACATTTATATTATGTTTGAACGTCTTACTATGCAATGTTATTATTGAATGTGCATGAGCATATCATCAATCATCTAGGTATGATTGGTTCAGTAAAGGAATAGTAACGATCATGCATTATATAAGCAAATTGCATAGTCTTGAAATGCTACCAGATAGACCTAAGGATCCTTATGGACCAACACATAACCATTTTGATGATTTGTTGTCCAATATGGATAGTTGTAATTTATTGGCATGACCACAATATGGATAACCATAGTTTATTGACAACGTCATAATATGGATAGTCATAGTTATTTAACAAGGTTGTTTACCAGTTGTTGTAGTTATTTGACGGGGACGTTAATTTGTTGTCGTAGTTGCATTGATTAAGGACATGCATGACATGCTTTACATTCTATTTATAAATGTATGGCAAATTATAATTTTATCAAATGATTTTGATAATGATTTGGTGTCTAAACCCATGTAGCTCACTAGACAAATTTTGTCTTACGTATTTGTTAAATGCCATCTATTCCAAGTTTTTAGATATAGTTTAAAGAGAGGAGTTGAGATTAATAGAAGAGAGCCAATGAATAAAATATGGGCATAGCTTCTCTAATGTAATCAACCTGGCAGCTTTACTATGATTTATTGTATCGATCGTAATGTCCGAAAGAATGTTTTTACAAATGTATTTTTAAATGAAATGAGAAAATTTTGGTACCATATTTTATAAATAAGACCCGTTAACAAAAAATATTTCATAAATCATAGTAGTTTGATGAAATAGTAGAAAGTATAATAGATTGATACATGAGAATATGAACGAGAACAAAGCAACGGCTGATAAGGAGATAAAAACATTCAAAAAAATTATGTTGTACTATAAGAAAACTCATCTTTATAATTTGGATGGGTTTATATGTCATGTTAAAACCGAAATGAATTGATTTTGAGAAAACTAGATTCCTTATGATCAACATTTAGGTATTATGTAAGTTCTATAGTTGGTTTAATGAATAATGTTATATATATTATATATATATATATATATATATATATATATATATATATATATATATATATATATATATATATATATATATATATAGAAATATAAATCCGATCATATATTTTCATAATATCATTAAATACAACTTTTTTAGTTAGATTACATCTTGTTTAAATTAAATATAGGATAAAAACATTAACACCGTGAACCACTACATCCCATCTCTTACTTGATTTTCCTATCTTACTTGATTTTTCCATCGAGATTAACATTTTTTCTTTATTGGTTGGTAACATAGATGTACGTTTTTTTGTAGTATGTATTTTTTTCTTACGGAAATAGGTACATTATTTTATGACTAAACCTTCACCAGAGGATGGAATATAATAATATTTGACTTATCAGGTTGACATTTTTTCATAAATGGTTTTTGAAAACCTATCTTTAGTCTCACTAGATGTAACAACTAAAGAAAGATTATATTTGAGAGCAAATGCTAACGAATAAATGCCCTTACATATTAGGATTCATCATTTAGTGTGTGCCACGATTATCCTTCAATGCAAACGATAACGAATAACTCGTAAGGGTATGACTCATGTTTGTGAAAGAAATAACGAGGTTATCTGATTATTACTATTTTTATTTTAAAATGTTACATTTTTAACAATATTAAATTAAAAAAATTCCAAAAAAATATCAAAATTTCATAATATGGATTTCAAATTTCACAACATGGATATCAAAACTAAAACTATAATTTAGCAGGTTATTTATGTAAATTTGGCTGTCACCTAATTTTGTAGGATAAACATACAACATATATGTTTGTAGGTTGCTCTTACAAAATGGGATTTTGAAAGTGGTCCGAGAGCATTTCGCAAGTATACCTTGCAAAATTTATGAGATTCAATTTTCCCGTTAAATCCATACCAATTTCATATTCCATGCTAGTGAAATTATTGAGTATATTAAGAAATCTCTTATTTAGCCTAAAGCGTGGTCGACACATAACTTTTAAAAGCTTCTAGCTTTTAATTTATATATATATATATATATATATATATATATATATATATATATATATATATATATATATATATATATATATATATAAACTTGGAAAAAAAAGTCCTTCAACATTATAAGCTTCTAGGTTTTAGGTAAAAAAAAAGTTTCAAGTCCAAAAACTAATTCAAAGACGGTTTAACAAAAAACACTTTTATACATTTACAAATTGACTTAACTACCATATTTTAAACTTAATAATGTAATTTAGATAAATTATTTTATATGTTTTAAAAGTTTTAAACTATTTTTTCCGAAAATGCATACAAATTTTAACTTCAAATTACAAACTACCGGCTTGTACCTACCAACTTCCAGCTCTAGATTACTCTAGATTTCAATTCGTTTTTGGATACTCTTAAATTTTGAAAATGATTAAGGGTTTTGCTTAGGTTATATTTTTCTTCAAAAAAAATAAAAAATATATAAAGATCTATTTCACACTAATAATTTGTACATATATATAAAAGTACCTTATCTATAAATATAATCCAAAATTTATTTTTTTTCCTTCTTTAAGGGGTGGACTATACATAATAATTTATTGGGTAGGGAGGAAGTATAAATTTTTTTCGGTATTTGTCTGCGTCTTTCTTAAAGTAGAAACATATACGTGTACTTGCCTTCATCGTAGTAATACGATACCCATTACTCCCTCTCTCTCTTTGAATCACCCTCTTCGTCACATCCATATTCATTTTCGTCTTCCTCCCCCTTTCTCTTTCTCTTTCTCTCTCTCTCTCTCTCTCTCTCTCTCTTCTTCCAGTTGCCTAAGACGACTTTTTTCTCCTTTCAGATGGCGCAACAAGCTTGAACAAAGTCTTAAAGCAAAAAGCTGGTGAGTTCATTAGTTTCTTCGTGTATCTCGTCTGTTTTTCATGATTTCCCCTTTTATCTTACCGATATTCTATTTAGTTTATCGATGAAACGCAAACCCTTTTTGATTGGTTCTGCTTCTTTTGCTGTTTATATGATGATTTTGAGAAATTGATCTGGGTTTATTGTAACTGAAAGTTGGATCTGTACGAATTTCGATGTCGGTTGTTTGAATTTGTCTGGATATCAGTTGATTTTTTTGGTTTGATTGTTAATCGCCCCCTTTTATGAACTAGCCGGAGTCATTTTCAAAAAGTTGATTAAATTTACAAGTTTTGATGAGATTCTTCGTTTTTCTCCCCCCTTTTTTCACCTTTTGGATGAGATCTATGAAATCGAAAGAATCAATTTTTTCCGATTGCTCTGTTTCACCCTAGACAAATAATCATAACTACAAAGTCTTCGATCAAAATTTAAGGAACTTCAGAACATTATTTTCGAATCCTTGGATAAAAACTCAATCAGTGGATCTAATTCTTATTTTCATCTCTTGTGATTAGAGTCTGTAAAGTTCGATTTCTCTTTCTATGTGTGTGGACTGTTTTGTTTCAGGTGTTTATGAATAATACAATTTCTAAGTAGATTCTTTATTTCTTCAGGGAGAATCTCTGATTGACGCTTGATATATTCAGGAGCAAATAGTTGATGTGATATTTAGACAGATTTACAAAGATTTGATTGGTATTGGGCTACTGTGATCCATGGGGATATTTGAAGAAATGGGTTTCTATGGAAATCTTGATTTCCTTGCAGCTCCGCCGTGTGAAGGGGATAGGCCGCCGGAAGTTGAGCAAGAGGCACCAATGGAGGACGATTACAGTGATGAAGAAATGGATGTTGATGAACTGGAAAGGAGAATGTGGAGAGATCGAATGCTTTTGAGGCGACTTAAAGATCAAAACAAAGGTAAAGAAGTCGATAACGCCAAACAACGTCAATCTCAAGAACAAGCAAGACGAAAGAAAATGTCTCGTGCACAAGATGGGATCTTGAAATACATGCTTAAAATGATGGAAGTTTGTAAGGCTCAAGGGTTTGTCTACGGAATCATCCCGGAGAATGGAAAACCGGTGAGTGGAGCCTCCGACAACCTCCGTGCCTGGTGGAAGGAAAAAGTCCGGTTTGACAGAAACGGCCCGGCGGCGATCGCCAAATACCAAGCCGACCATTCAGTTTCCGGGAAGAACGAGGACAGTTGCGCCGTCGTCTCCACTCCTCACACTCTACAAGAGCTTCAGGACACCACACTTGGGTCCCTTTTATCTGCTCTAATGCAGCACTGCGATCCTCCGCAGAGGAGGTTTCCATTGGAGAAAGGGGTTGCGCCGCCGTGGTGGCCCACCGGAGACGAAGAATGGTGGTCTCAGCTAGGTCTCCCGAAAGAACAGGGGACCCCACCCTACAAGAAACCTCACGATCTGAAAAAAGCTTGGAAAGTCGGTGTTTTGACGGCGGTGATTAAGCATATGTCGCCGGACATAGCTAAAATTCGCAAGCTTGTTAGGCAATCGAAATGTTTACAAGATAAGATGACAGCGAAAGAGAGCGCCACGTGGCTTGCGATTATCAACCAAGAGGAAGCGCTTTCCCGGAAGCTATATCCCGATAGCTGTCCGCCGATATCTTCCGCCGCCGGCAGTGGGTCGTATCTCGTCAGCGACACCAGCGACTACGACGTCGATGGTGTTGAAGATGAACACACAATCGAAGTAGAAGATTGCAAGCCCGTTTACAATTTGGGCCAAGTTGGGCTCATGGGCTCTATGGTCCCACAACTAGCCCAAGTCAAGGGTGAGCTCATCGACATAGCGTCTCCGGAGACTTTTATACAGAAACGGAAGCAACCATCTGATGAGCGGCAGCCGCCGCCTCCGGCGGCGATGGAACCCAAGATCTACACATGCGAGCATTCTCAGTGTCCTTACAGTGACATTCGGGTCGGGTTTCAGGACAGATTTTCAAGAAACAATCACCAGATGAGTTGTCCCTATCGCCCGACCCCTAATCCTAATCAGAACCCTTCTCGCGGCGGAACCCTAAACTTCCAAATTAACAACCTCCAGAAAGAACCGGTTTTCGCTATGCCGTCGTTTGCTCAGCCCAAGATCACCACCGCTCCCGCCGTGAACCAGGAGAATCAATTTGTTAGTTCGCAACTTGGACTTCCGGGAGATGGTCAACGGGTGATTTCTGATCTCATGTCGTTCTATGATACCAATCTTCAACAACCCAACAGAAATCTTAACTCCGGGAATCTTGACGTCGTCGGCGTCGGCGACCACCAGAAGCAAAAATTTCCGATCCAGATCGACGATGATTTTTTTGTACACAGCGTTGAATCCAACAATCAATCGACGTTCTTACCAACAACAGGGTTCCATTTCGAGAACAAAACACCATACAATCCTGCTTTTGATGCAAACAGTAACCTGGATTTCAGATTTGTTTCGCAGTCGCCTTTCAGTCTAGGAGGAGTTGACTTTTCCGGCGATCCAACTCCGGCGCCGGATATGTCCATGTGGTATCTGTGAAATCAATTATCAAGATTCAAGATAAAAAAAGACTCAAATTCACCCAATTAACAGGTGAAGAGTCTCTTCCTTAAATCCATAGTATAGTATCAAGTTAGTTATTATTATTATTATAATTACCAAAACTTTCTGTGGACTCCTGTTTCTTGTTTTTACGTTTCTTGTGACAATATCTTGTGTAACTATTATATATTTTGTTTATATATATATATATATATATATATATATATATATATATATAATTGTGGTGTATTGTTGATTGTTATGGATCATTTGAAGTCGAATGTTATTGTATGTTGATACACACACAAACACAAACACAAACACACACAGTGGAAGGTGGTAGGTGTTTTGGTGGGTGTTTGTCAACATCGGATGGAGACAAAGAGAAGGGTGGATGCATGTGATAAAGGTGAGACTTTGTTGGGACCAAAACAATTGACCAAAAGATTAGGTGCAAAGATGAAAGATGAAGAACATGGACATATGCCTCTATTGATGTGGGGCCCAGATATGGATAAAATTTAGAAGATGCTAATGGTGGTGGTGGTGGTGGCTGTCCACTACACAACAAAACATGACATCAAGGTCATCAATGGCTGTTTGACTTTTCTTTCCTTATATAGGTCTTTGTCGACTATCTTTGTGGTTTTGGACCCAACTTTTATTTTACTATTTTGGTTGTGTGTTTTTTGTAAAGAATAAGATTGATTGGAATAGGATTAATAGTTGTCAAATCTTGACTTGTCCTCATAAATCATTTTCTTTGACCAATTAGAACTCAAACTATCATATGATGGGGAGTGGGGTCGAGTAGTTAAGTGCATCCGTCTTAAGAAAACTTTTCATTAATGGTGTCTATAATAGGATAAAATTTTGCAACGCATTAGAGGATCCATGGTTTAATGAAATTGTTAAATGAGGTGAAACATGAAAGAAAAAAAAAAGGGAACACCATTTGAGCACAAAACATAAGACCATTCTAAAATTCTTATGAGAGAGGTTAATCGAATAACATTAGCAATATTTTGGATATATCAGAGTTCAAAGTCTCATGTATTTTATAGAATTATACACATCAACTACTACACTTCTATCTTTGGATATGTCGGAGTTCAAAGTCTCATGTATTTTATGGAATTATACACATTAACTACTACACTTCTATCTTAAGGACATATTAGAGATATAGGAACAAGATATGGATGAACATAGGTATCTATGGAACAACATATGGATAGACAATGAATTACAATCTAACATAATTATAAGATAGTGAGATGTCAAGTTAGCATATAATTAAGTTGGTTGTATGGAAGTGGGGCAACATTTTTAAATATGATGATGATGTGATAGATCATAGAACTTTGTACTATTCAATGGATTTTAAAATAAGTTGAATGGAATAGGACCAATTTTTTAAATATGACAATGATGTCATAGTTTATTGAACTTTATAGAATTTAATATATGTTAAGAATTAAACTGCGTATTAGCATGTAAAATGAAATGTCATGTGATAATTAAAAAATGTTGTAAAGTTGATTTGGTCCGGAAATTTTCCAAAAAAAATGAAATGTTGATGTGTCATTAATCAATGTTGCAGAGTTGAATGGTTTGTAGATGATCCAAAAAAATATAATCAAATATTGTAGAGTTGAATAGTTTCTGGATATTCTAATCGCATGCTTAATAGATTTAAAAGAAAAAAAAATCAAGCTATCTCCATCATAGTATATTTTTTTTAAAAAAATTTATTCATAGGTTCCATAAAACATATTTATTTGAAACTAATAAAATACAATTAAAACAATGTTGTTAAAATCGTGATCTTAATCGTACAACGATCCTACGATCCTAAGTATGAAAAACGAATCGGATCGTATTTGGGATAGAATCGCAAGTACGATCATCGGATCGTAAAATCGGGATCCAATCCAATTCTACCATTCCTTGATTTTTTTTTGAAAAAATAAAAATAAAAATCAATTTTCTTTTTAAAAAAGAGAAAATTAAATTTCCCACTTTACGACTTTTATTCTTTACCGGTTTATCGTGTACCTTTTTTTTTATAACTAATTTTTTGAAGTTTTTATAGGTTTTGAAGGGAAAACTGAATGTTAGAGATATTTTCATGTTTTGAACTTAAAGTTTTACCATTTTAAAATTATATGTTTTTGTGAGATCTTAGAGTCCGATCACGATCTTATAAACAAAAAAACAATCTTACATACAACTCTGATTAAAATGGTAAAAAAAAAAAAAAAAAAAAAAAAAACTTTAATAAGTCGGTAAATTTACAAGCAAATTGAAAAATCTTTGAAATGAAAAACTTTTTCACTTTCTAAGTTATTTGACTCAAAAAGTTTTCCAAATATTGTTTGACCATGTATTATGGTCACCATGCATGGTGTAGAGTGGTGATGTGGCACATCGATCGACCCTCATGGTAACAACATACTATCTTTATATGTGAGGCACCGCTTTGAGAACTCTATTTCCTCCTCTCTTATCTTTTCCTTTTTTTTATTATTTGTATTAAATATAGTGAAATATTAAAGATGGAGGTATTTGTTGGAGATATGCCAACTACAGACCAAGTTAATATTATATTAAATCTATTGGGTTGTAACAAATCATCTTCAAAATGGTGAGAACTATAAATAAAATGACTAGTTTGCTATTTATTATTGGTTTAATTAGAAACTATAAAAAAAGAGGTACGTTAATTTCTAATCAGATATATTTGAATTATGACTATATAAATATGTATTTAATCATATATAATTTTGTCATTAATTCAAATTGTTGCTTGGTGAACAAGTTTGACCATTTAGAAATCAAACTATGATGATGGGGACGCGTAGTTAAGTTAACACCATCCGTATTAAGAAAACTTTTTTAATTAAAACATCTATAATAGGAAAGTTTTTAATGATGCTTTTCGTGCCACATAACAGGATGCATGGTTTAAATAAAATGGTGATGTGAGAGTTTATTGAGATGTTAAGTTAGCATACAATTAATTTGGAGTTGATGAACACTATATTTTTAGATGATGATGTGAGAGTTTATTCGAACTTAATAGAGTTTAACAGATTTAATTTAAATGCCACAGTTTGTATGGGAATGAAATATTGATGCGACAATTAATCAAATTTTTGTTGAGTTGAATGGTTTATGACTTTATGTCTTTGCGGATGGCAAAAGGCCTAATTCACAAATTAGAAAACTTAAGTTGTCTCCTGTAAAGTTTTTCTCATAATGTTTATTCATAATCATGGGTTCCAAAAAATGTATTTATTTGAAACTAGTAAACTAGTATAATATAAAATGAAAAGACTTTTCGTAAAGAATTTGTAAATTTACTAGTAAACTGAAAAAAAAAAAAAAAAAAAAAAAAAAAAAAAAAAAAAAAAAAAAACCTTTTTTTACTTTGCCAAATTTATTTGACCCAAAAGGTTTTTAAAAAATCTCTTATTGTGGATGCACTAAGTTTTTTCATCACGTCGGAAAAAACGTAATATACCCCCACAAATGTAAAACTTATTCACAAAACGTATTTATGGGTGTCAAAAGGCTTATTTATGTGTCGGCCTCATGAATATGACAATCTTTTTTTTTTTTTTTTTTTCTATATGATTGTGTCCAAACATAACACAGTGAAACTTTTACAATTGGTTGATTGGCATATGATTTTCTAGAATCATTTTAAGATCTAAGAGTCATAATCTATTTTTTCTTAATTATGAAGCAAACTTATGTTTGAGCTCAAGGAAAGGAATCATGAACCTATACTTGTGGTGTTTTATGTTTGTCGATTTAAAGCTTCTTTTTGTTATACATGATGTATGGATAGCATTTATTTTGTACTACAATATATGTTTGGTTGATTAGGATCTATACCTAATACTAGCTACGAATGCCAATCTGCCTTTTGACTCTTGTAGTTATTTCACACGTATTCAAGATAAAAACAATGAGAAAATGATTGTGCAATTAAAGTACAATATATTTTCATGTATAAACTTTCGGTAAGGACAAATGACATGAAAATGTAATTTACTTTGGTTTAGCGTTCATTTTGGTATTATACTTAGAAAGCTGCTTACATCGGTACATATGATCAAAGTCTATTAAATGTCTGTTTTAGGATCTAGAAACCAATTGCATGTTATTTATTAACCGTTTTTAGATCCTCAGACTTGACATAATGGTATTGTTGGGCTAATTTAAAGTTGTACCTTGATTATGTGGTTCAAAAAAAATTCATCAAAGTATAGAAAAACATGATTTAGATATGCATCATTATCATCATCATAAATCGAGTAACTACCCTCACCCCTAAAGCATACACACATGTAAACAAAAACAAATTTTAGGTATGTATTAGTATTAACATTATAAATTTACTTTATTTATTCCAAATTTATAAAGATTACCGAAAAAAAAGATTCAGATGTGCATGTATATGTATATGTAGAAGAATTAAAGCTAAATATTGTTGTGAAACAAACAAAACAAATGAAGTAACATTTTATATTCGAAGTGTTTGACTTTTTTCTCATGTATATTCGAGTAAAATAATTTATTACTTCCATGTTTGATTAAATCTGGAAAAGGGTGAAGAAAAGAATGTCTTGAAGACGAAAACTTGATAATCCCAATTGTTATTGAGATCCTATGTCAAAGCAATAAAACCAGGCAAAAATATATGGTCAATAACAATTTAGAAGTATACAAAGTACATAATTAACAAATGTACTTTGCTTTTTTAGTTGTGAAACCTAACAATTTCACATTTGTGGTGTCTCTAACCTCAAACCATGTGGTCCAAAATCTCAAAGGTGTCATCCTATGTCTAGAATGCCGAATGTGTATCAACCATTAATATGCCATTAAAATGATCACACAAAAAGAAAACGAAAGATACATTCATCTTCTAAGACTATATCTACTTATTTAGCACTTACCGACACTACCTTAGAACGAGGGAAAGA